AAGGAACCCCTGTATTCCCAATGTGTATCTTGCATCCCCCACCCCTCCCTACCCTGCCCTCCTTTTCCACCTCCCCCCTCGCCTGCAGAGCAAGCAGTAAAGACTTGTGTCTTGAAAAAAGCAGGACTATTTATCGTGGGGTCATATAACAGGGGAGGACTGGTGAAAGAAACTGGAATGGGGGAGCAGGCGGGGGGCTCATGGATAGGCCTGCAAGTGGTACCTGCCTCATAGAATCATAGAATCATAGAATAATAGGACTGGAAGGGACCTCAAGAGGTCATCGAGTCCAGCCCCCCGCCCTCAAGGCAGGACCAAGCTCCGTCTACACCATCCCTGACAGATGTCTATCCAACCTGTTCTTAAATATCTCCAGAGAGGGAGATTCCACCACCTCCCTTGGCAATTTATTCCAATATTTGACCACCCGACAGTTAGGAATTTTTTCCTAATGTCCAATCTAAACCTCCCCTGCTGCACTTTAAGCCCATTACTCCTTGTCCTGTCCTCAGAAACCAAGGGGAACAAATTTTCTCCTTCCTCCTTGTGACACCCTTTTAGATATTTGAAAACCACTATCATGTCCCCCCCTTCATCTTCTTTTTTCCAAACTAAACAAGCCCAGTTCATGAAGCCTGGCTTCATAGGTCATGTTCTCTAAACCTTTAATCATTCTTGTCGCTCTTCTCTGGACCCTTTCCAATTTCTCCACATCTTTCTTGAAATGTGGCGCCCAGAACTGGACACAGTACTCCAGCTGAGGCCTAACTAGTGCAGAGTAGAGTGGCAGAATGACTTCACGAGTTTTGCTTACAACACACCTGTTGATACAACCTAGAATCATATTTGCTTTTTTTGCAACAGCATCACACTGTTGACTCATCACACTGTTGGCTCTCCAAGGGCAGAAGGTGGGGACCCGCAAAGATGATCAATCCCTCGTCTATGCAGGCTCTGCTTACAACTCCACAGAGTCACAGATGTACTGACTTTGGGGGGAGCTGCCACCATCAAGTGATTTACTCCCAAAAATGGGGGGGACGGGGACTTGAATCCCATCTGAAGCTCTTTTACCGCAAAAGTGCTTGGAAAACAAACAAAGAGGAAAACAAGCTGCCATCTCTGGTAAATGACCTCTTAGTTTGCAGCATCCAAAACACACGAATCAAATCATCACTTTAAAAAGTGATTATTATTAACAGAACAGAAGCTACGCTTGAGAAAGCAAACTTGATTGGTAGGTGTTACAGTTACAACATTCAAGGTGCATAAGTTAAACAGAAATGTAACATGGTAACACTTCTGGATGGAAGTGGGTCATAAAGATGGAACGCAGATGCAATACTCAGTTTACAATTGTGGGAAATTACAACCCATCTTGCCTGGTTAGTCACATGCTGCACTATGGTTTCACACTGCATCAGTAAATCATGTTATCTATACATACCATGATGAGTTACTCAGTGACAGAGTCGGCAGATAATTAAGATGATTAACAATTAAAGTTTTAGGTAGCTTAAATCTTATTTTAATTGTGTTAAATATGAGCTATAAAATCTCATTCCACTCTTCAAAGACTCATAGATTTGGTAAATTGCCTGTGTGCCACTTTTTTTTTTCCTGTTTCTCTTATGTTGTGAGTTTCTTGAAATATAGTTGTACAGGCAGTCCCCGGGTTACGTACAAGATAGGGACTGTCGGTTTGTTCTTAAGTTGAATTTGTATGTAAGTCGGAACTGGTACATATTGTAGGGGAAACTCTAGCCAAACATTTCTCCAGAGCTCAGTTTTATTCTCCCACACCTCACTTCCCTCAGTCCTTTATTCTCAAGCTGAGGTGTCTGCTGAGAAAAGCCGCTCCGCATCTCCCTGGTCTGCTGGGGAGGAAGGGCGCTAGCTTTGCGTCTCCCTGGTCTGCTGGGGGGAAGCAGCTAGTGCGGGGTTGCCTCACCCCGTTTGTAAGTAGGGATCCGATGTAAGTCGGATCCATGTAACCCGGGGACTGCCTGTATTTAAATCGCGGCTTCAGTTCCCTTTGCCGAACAAACAAATCTACATGGTTCCGTAGACGGAGCCATGTAGTCTAGACGTACCCTAAATGCATAAGTGGGGGCCAGCAAATGTACCCCAAAACCTTATCTACCAGGCTTTGGTATAAAACTTCCCCCCAAAATCTTAAAACCCTAGATTTGGGGGGATAAAATCTCTTCTGCCACCACCCAAGTATTGATGTGAAATCACTCGGGAAATCTGAGCCCTAACGTACAAACCAGGACACAACAATTAGCCAATACCAGGTTAATAAAAAGAAAAGAGAAAGAACTTTTATTCTCACCGCAATATTCCTGTTACAAGTATAATGACTAGATGGAAAAGTAACAAAATAACAAACTCATGGAGAAACTTCATGGTCTTTTAGTTGCAAAAGAAAGCCAAAACATCAGCTCTCATTTCCCAAATCATAAAATAATAAAACCGAAAGGATTTATCTAAACTTTACCCTACTTACAGAAAGTGAAGAATTGTTCTTGGAGAGAAAGTCATGTCTGTCTCCCTCAGTCGCCGGAGGGAACGCTCAGAAAAAAAGGAAAACCCAAAAATTCCTTCATCCCACGTTGAGATTCCTACCTACATTCCTATTGGCTAACTCTACCTGAGTTAGGTGTAGTTAACCCCTTAATCCCCAGGCGGCTGACTAACCCTCATGATCATGACACAGAACAACTAAGTAAAACACATTAAAACACAGAGGCTGTGTCTAGACTGCATCCCTTTTCCGTAAAAGGGATGCAAATGAGACACGTCACAATTGCAAATGAAGCGGGGATTTAAATCCCCCCCGCTTTATTTGCATAAACATGGCTGCCGCTTTTTTCTGGCTCGGAGCTTTGCCGGAAAAAAGCACCAGCGTAGACGTGGATATTTCGGAAAATAAAGCCTTTTCCAAAAGATCCCTTATTCCTTATTCCATTTTAAGAGGAATAAGGGATCTTCCGGAAAAGGTTTTATTTTCCGAAAGATCCACGTCTAGATTGGTGCTTTTTTCCGGAAAAGCTCCGAGCCAGAAAAAAGCAGCAGCCATGTTTATGCAAATGAAGCAGGGGGGATTTAAATCCCCGCTTCATTTGCAATTGCGATGTGTCTAATTCTAGACACAGCCAGAGAAAATCTCTGGGCACACCTCTTAGATGGTGACTATGGGAGGGGAAGCATGGATTCACACAGAGCAGTTCGAACCAAACCACAAAAATATAGAAAAAAAACCCCTGATCCTGACTGGATACACTTTTCCTTGGAGGCATGGCAGTCCAGACTGGGTTAAAATCATTCTGTGTCTTTCCACTCTTGGTTTCACTCTCCAACATAAAGAAATCAGGCAAGGTATCTTACACAATTCAGATTTCAGTACTCTGTTCCTATTGGTTCTTCTGGATCCTTGCCAACATCCTTGCTAGCTACGTGAGATTAACCCCTTAGTCACTGGATGCTGGCCAGCCTCCTCCTGTCCATCACAGGGAGGACAGCAGGTGATAGGAGCGGAGCTACAAGAGCTTGAGCAGGGCAATGATACCCCTTGGCAGAGATTCTGGAGAAAACGAGTTTTCTCGCACATGCCGTTCCCCCTTTCTTTCCTCTGGGTGAGATTTCCTCAGGTGCCTGCGGTCATTAGTGACCAATTTTAAGATGGTCGCCCCCTACCTCCAAAGATAAGAAACATAAGAGAATGTTACAGATGCAATTGCACATGAGTTAATGGGGTTCCCACCAGCTAGGGTTTTACTCAGACAGCCTGGTTTTTAGCTTATGTGTTTGTGGGCCAGGTGGGGTTGCCAGGAATCTGCTTTTCCACATACAAGTCTGGTCAAAAAGGGAACCTGGCAGTTTCTGGTTCCTGCCAGGCACAGAAGTTCATTAACCCAGGAGAGTCAGGGCCCTCTGCTTCCAGGACACTGGCTCCTTATCAGGCTTCATCAGCTTCTGTCCCTGCCCAGGAGAGGAGGGAGCCCAGGTCAGGGGGAGGAATTTGGAGATGATCCAGTGCTTGATGGGGCAGAGGAGGAGAGGAGAGTGGTCAATACCATGGCTGAGGTCTCGGGGGAAGAGGTACAAAATTGTGGGGGAAGTCTATGCTCCCTGTCTTTCTTCAAGGTCCAACACATATTTGTTCCTCTTTCCTGTGGGCCCAGCCCAGTTTTAATTTAATTAATGGAGATTGCCTATCTCAGACAGCCTGGTGGGAGGGATAGCTCAGTGGTTTGAGCATTGGCCTGCTAAACCCAGGGTTGTGAGTTCAATCCTTGTGGAGGCTGTTTAGGGATTTGGGGCAAAAATTCATCAGGGATGGTACCTGGTCCTGCTGTGAAGGCAGGGGACTGGACTCGATGGCCTTTGAAGGTCCCTTCCAGTTCTAGGAGATTTTTTTTTTTTTATATAATGGAGATTGCCTATCTCCTAGAACTGGAAGGGACCTTCAAAGGCCATCGAGTCCAGTCCCCTGCCTTCACAGCAGGACCAGGTACCATCCCTGATGAATTTTTGCCCCAAATCCCTAAACAGCCTCCACAAGGATTGAACTCACAACCCTGGGTTTAGCAGGCCAATGCTCAAACCACTGAGCTATCCCTCCCACCAGGCTGTCTGAGATAGGCAATCTCCATTAATTAAATTAAAACTGGGCTGGGCCCACAGGAAAGAGGAACAAATATGTGTTGGACCTTGAAGAAAGACAGGGAGCATAGACTTGCTCATGAGGGGAAGAAGTGTGGCCCTCTGGTGTCCAGCTACCACCAGTTGGAGAGATGGAAACCCAAGGAGTGATTGAGTTGCGCATAGATGAATTCCCAGGTTTGTCCCTCCGGCACAGCCCAGTGAGATAAGACAAGGATTTCATATTTCTTTGACTGCCCACTGAATGATCCAGGTGCTCTGGCCCAGCACCATGCTGCCAGTCACCCCAGAATAGAGCTCAGTCTGAGAGCCAAAGTACCAGGACAAAAAAATTACGAAGTTCCTTTATGAGTAAAAAGCCGGAGCAGCCTGTCCCGGATCTGTTTGGTTCTCACCCCGTAGATGATAGGATTTAGCATAGGGGGCCCCAGGAGGTAGATATTACCAATCAGAACACGGGAATGTAGGGCCACATTGTTGACAAAACGAAAGGTGATAGAGGAGAAGATGGTTGGCAGGTAAAAGGCTAAGATGGCGCAGAGGTGGGAGATGCAGGTCCCAAAGGTCTTGAGCCGGGCATCCTTTGTAGGAAGGCGGAAGATGGCCCTGAGGATCTGGATATAGGATGAAATGATTAAAAACATGTCCATGCTGGTCACTGAAGATACCACAAAGAGGCCGTAGTTACTACTGACCTGGATGTCGGCGCAGGCCAGCTTCACCACATAGATGTGCTCACAGTGCGTGTGGGGGATGATGTTGGTTCTGCAATACGGCCAGTGCCTCACCAGGAAGGGATAGGGCAGTGCGAGTATGCAGCCACGCAGCAGTATGGCCAGGCCGATCTTGGCCACCACAGGGTTTGTCAGGATGGTGGAATGTCTCAGGGGATGGCAGATGGCCACGTACCGATCCAACGCCATGGCCACAAAGATCCCAGATTCCATGACTGAGAAACCATGAATAAAGTACAGCTGGGTGAGGCAGCCATTGAAATCAATCTCCCTGGAATTGAACCAGAAGATGCTCAGCATTTTCGGCAGGATGGTTGTAAACAGAACTAGGTCGGTGGTGGCCAGCATGCAGAGGAAATAGTACATGGGTTCATGCAAACTCGGCTCCGTTTTCACAATGAAGAGGATAACATACATGGCACAGAAAGGGATGGCGATCCTGACTTGAGCCATCTCCAGGCCAGGAATACCCTGCAGGATGAAGGTGGAGGGGTTGGTGAAGTAGGTTGTGTTGGAACCTGACATTTTGTGGGGGAGAAGGTCTCCAACTCTGTGGCAGAACGGTGTCTCCTGGATGCACCGTACGTCCCCCGATTTGCTATGTAGGCCCACGGTCTACGGTCACAGTACAAATACCTGAATAGAAACATAATTTTAATAGTGGGGGATTTCAATTATCCCCATATTGACTGTGTATACATCACCTCAGGATGGGAGGCAGAGATAAAATTCCTTAAATGACTGCTTCTTGGAACAGTGGGTTCTGGAACCCACAAAGGGAGAGGCAGTTTTCGATTTAGTCCTAAGTGGAGCACAGGAGCTGATCCAAGAGGTAACTATAACTGGACCACTTGGAATTATAGACCATAAACTAATAAAATTAACATCCCTGTTTGGGAAAAACACCCTAGCAGCCCAACACTGGGGCATTTCATTTCAGAAAGGGGAACTACACAAAAAAGAGGAAGTTAGTTAAACAGAAATTAAAAGGTACAGTGACAAAAGAAAAATATCTGCACGTTCCATGGAAATTATTCACCGCGACCATAATAGAGGCCCAATATAAATGTATACCACAAAATAGAAAACACAGGTAAGGGTGTGTCTTAGACTGCAGGCTTTTTTCAAAAAAGTGGCATTTTTTCGAAAAAACTTGACCTGCGTCTAGACTGCTGCCATGTTCTTTTGAAAGAAAACAAAAGAACACGGCAGTTTTTTCAACCACGGTAAACCTCATTTTACGAGGAATAACGCCTTTTTTTGAAAGTGCTCTTTCGAAAAAAGGCGCTATGTAATGCAAACTGTGCTTTTTCGAAAGAGAGCATCCAGACTGCCTGGGTGCTCTCTTTCAAAAAAACTGATTGCTTTTTTGAAAGTACTGGTTAAGGTCTAGAAGCTCTTTTTCAAAAGAGGCTTTTTCGAAAGTATCTTTCAAAAAAGCTGTCATGATTATGAGGGTTAGCCAGCAGCCTGGGGATTAAGGGGTTAACTACACCTAGCCAGGTGGAGTGACCAATAGGAATGTAGGTGGGACTTTTCAAACTGGGACAAAGGAATTTGGGTTTTTTTTTTCTTTTCTCCCTTTTGTCTCTCAGAGAGTTCTCTGCAGCTACAGAGAGGGACAAGCATGTCTCTCTCTCTCTCCAAGACATCATTCTTTATTTTCTGTAAGTAGGGTAAAGTTTAGGTAGTTTTGTTAGGTTTTATTGTGTTATGGATTGGGTATGGGATCTGATGTCTGGCACTGCTTAAAAGATGTTTTGGCTTTTCTTTGTAACTAAGTTCTAGGCCCATGGAGTTTCTCCATGAGTATATTTTGTTACCTTCCTCTCTAGTCATTATACTTGCAACCAGAATATTGTTGTAATAATAAAAGTTCTTTCTTTTCTTTTATTAACCTGGCAGTGGTTAATGGTGTGCCCTGATTTTTGTTTTAGGGGGAAGATTTCCCAAATGATCTTTCCCCTGGTTTCTTTAGCAACATTTGGGTGGTGGCAGCGGAAGTTTTATTCCCAAGATCTAGGTTTTTAAGATCTTGGGGGAAGTTTTATACCAAAGCCTGGTAGATAAGGCTTTGGGGTACACTTGCTGGCCCCCACTTCTGCATTTATCATGCCAGAGTGGGGAAGGAGCCATGACAAAAGCCTCTTTTGAAAGAGGCTTGCAGTCTAGATCTAGCCTTAAGAGAACCAAAAAAGAGCCACCATGGATTAACAACCAAGTAAAAGAAGCAGTGACAGATAAAAAGACATCTTTTAAAAAGTGGAAGTTAAACCCTAGTGAGGAAAATAGAAAGGAACATAAACTTTGTCAAATTAGATGTAAAAACATAATAAGAAAAGCCAGGAAGGAGTTTGAAGAACAGCTAGCCCCAAACTCAAAAACTAACAGCAAAATGGTTTTTTTTTTAAGTTCATTAGAATCACGAAACTGCTAAACAACCAGCGGGGCCCTTGGACGATTGAGATACTAAAGAAGCCCTCAAAGAGGATAAAGCCATTGCGGAGAAATGAAATGAATTCTTATCTTCAGTCTTCACAGCTGAGGATACTGGGGAGATTCCCAAACCCGAGCCATTCTTTTTAGGTGACAAATCTGAGGAATTGTCCCAGATTGAGGTGTCATTAGAGGCAGTTTTGGAACAAAGTGATAAACTTAACAGTGACGACTCCCTGGGACCAGATGTTATTCACTTAAGAGTTCTGAAAGAACTCAAATGGGAAATTGTGGAAGCATTAACTGTGTTTCCATTCCTGGGGAGTGTCTAAACTACATGGCTCTGTCGTCGTTTCACAGGGCATAAAGGATCTGCCAACGAAGAGTTCTGGGGTTGGCAGATCCCCGTCTAGACTGCCGTGCTGAGCCAACAATCAGCTGATCGGCACAGTGCGGCGGCCATTTTGATTTAAATGAAGCCGTGATTATTTAAATCGCGGCTTCATTTCCCTTTGCCGAGTAAACTAATCTACATGTCTCCTTTGACAGAGCCATGTAGTTTAGATGGACCCTGAATGTCTGGAAGATAGCTAACATGATGCCAATATTTAAAAAGAGCTTCAGAGGTCATGCTGGCAGTTACAGACCGGTAAGTCTAACATCAGTACCGGGCAACTTAGTTGAAACTATAGCAAAGAATACAATTGTCAAACAAATAGAAGAACATAATTTATTGGGGGACTTAAAAACCTCCAAGGAGGGGGATTCTACAGACTCTCTGGTAACCTAATTCCAGCCTTAACTACCCTTAGGAAGTGTTTCCCAACATCGACCCTAAATCTCCCTTGCTGAAGATTAAGCCTGTTATATTTTCCTCCCACCTTGGGTGGACATGGAGAACAATTCATCACAGTGCTTTTTATAACAGCCCCAAATATAGAACATAAGAAGATAAGAACGGCCGTACTGGGTCAGACCAAAGGTCCATCTAGCCCAGTATCCTGTTTACCGACAGTGGCCAGCACCAGGTGCCCCAGAGAGGGTGGACCAAAGACAATGATCAAGCGATTTGTCTCCTGCCATCCCTCTCCAGCCTCTGACAAACAGAGGCCCAGGACACCATTTTATCCCCTGGCTAATAGCCTTTTATGGACCTAACCTCCATGAATTTATCCAGCTTCTCTTTAAACTCTATTATAGTCTTAGCCTTCAAAGCCTCCTCCGGCAAGGAGTTCCACAGGTTGACAACACGCTGTGTGAAGAAGAACTTCCTTTTATTAGTTTTAAACCTGCTACCCTAACCCTAACCCATTGAAAACATCCTATCAGTGTGCAGCGGCACTCAAAAATGGCAAATAGAATGGTAGGAATCATTAAAAAAGGGACCAAGAATAAGATAGAAAATATCGTATTGCCTCGATATAAAACCATAGTATGCCCACACCTTGAATACTGAATACAGATGTGGTGGTCTCATCTCAAAAGATATATTGGAATTGGAAAAAGTTCAGAAAATGGCAACAAAAATTATTAGGGTTTTGGAAAGGGTCCCATATAAATAGAGATTAAAAAGACATGGACTGTTCAGTTTAGAAAAAAGAAGACTAAAGGGGGATGTGATAGAGGTCTATACAATCATGACTGGTGTGCAAAATGTGAAGACGGAAAAGTTTTTTACTTATTTCCACAATAGAAGAACTAGAGGTCACCAAATGAAATTAACAGGCAGCAGGTTTCAAACACACAAAAGGAAGTTTTTCTTCACTACGCGTACAGATTTGCAGATGATACCAAACTGCTCAACACAGTTAAGAACAAAGCAAACTGTGAAGAATGTCAAACAGACCTCACCAAACTAAGTGATTGGGCAACAAAATGGCAAATAAAATTTAATGTTGATCAATATAAAGTAACACACATTGGACAAAATAACCCCAACTATACATACAATACGATGGGGACTAATTTAGCTACAAGTACTCAAGGAAGAGCTCTTGGAGTCATTGTGGATAGTTCTCTGAAAACATCCACTCAATGTGCAACAGCAGTGAAAAAAGCAAATTGAATGTTAGGAATCACTAAAAAAATGGATAGAGAATAAGACAGAGAATAACTTATTGTCTCTATAGAAAACCATTGTATGCCCACATCTGAATACTGCATACAGATGTGGTTGCCTCATCTCTTGGCATTGGAAAAGGTTCAGAAAAGGATAAAAAAAAAGATTAGGGGTTTGGAATGTGTCCTATACGTAGAGAGATTAAAAACACTTGGACTTTTCAAGGGAGGAGACTAAGGGGGGATATGATAGAGGTTTATAAAATCATGACTGGTGTGGAAAAAGTGAATAGGAAAAGTTTTTTACTTATTCCCTCAATATAAGAACTAGGGGCCACCAAATGAAATGAATAGGCAGCAGGTTTAAAACAAACAAAGGGAAGTTTTTCTTCACTCATAGCACAGTGAACCTCTGGAACTCCTCGCAGGAGGATGTGGTGAAGGCTAGGACTCTAACAGGGTTCAAAAAAGAGCTAGATAGATTTATGTAGGTTAGGTCCATCAATGGCTATTAGCCAGAATGGGTAGGAATGGTGTCCCCAGCCTCTGTCTGTCTGGAAACGGATGACAGGGGAGGGATCACATGAGGATTACCTGTTGTGTTTGCTCCCTCTGGGGCATCTGGTATTGCTTCAGGGTTGGGGGACAAGGGCTCTGGCTAGTAGTGATGGATCTGGTAATGAGGTGTTTGGGTTCAGGAGGGGTTAGGTTTGGGCCAAGGGGGTTGGAATGTGGCAGTGGGCTCAGGGCAGGAACTTGGGATGTGGGTGCAGGGCCTGGGCAGGAGTTAGGGTGCAGGAGTGGGCTCAGGGTTGGAGTTTGGGGTCTAGGAGGGAGCAAGGTTGGTGCAAGTAGCTGGGGGCTGGGGAAGAGGTTTCGGGTAAAAGGCACTTACCTGGGACAATTCCCCTTTGGTTGAGGGGGACCAGGTGGCTCCGTGTTGCCCTGCACTCACCTGTAGGCACCCTTCCTCAGCTCCTATTGGCCACAATTCCCAGCCAATGGGATCGGTGGGAACAAAGCTACCTGGC